ACGGGCGCCCAGCGCGCCGCTCGGCTCCGGCTCGGCCGGCGCTGCAGAAAGAGCTCGGCGGTGAGCTCCAGGGCCCTGTTTCGGTGTGAGTGTTAGAGGACCCGGGCTCCCCAGCAGTAGCTGCGAATGTATCATTATAATGACTTTTAGTTTTAGCGCTAGAATATAGTTAAAGTTATTTTACTCCTCAGAACGAGGAGCATTTGTTAGTCTGAAGGATAGGTGGTTACCGATACAGTATTAAATACTTGGGTCTTAACTGAGTTAACTTTATAGATTGAACAATGATTTTTAGGAGACCCTAGTAATGGGCATGTATAGACCAACTCTGCAGAGGCCTTATGAGAAACATCCATAGAATTCGCTTTTCTCTACAGCTATTCGATTGTAAAAGAGCCCTCCTCTTGAGTACTGTTGAAGTTAATGTTTTGTCCTTCATGATATAAGAATTCAAACTTTGAAAAAAACCTTTGGACAATTTAATTTATTCAACATAGAAGTGATTTTTAAATGCTCTTGCATTAAATACAGACAAATTGGAAGATTTAGTCTTCAAGCCTCGTACAAAATGACTTAAAAGAAATTTCGCTGCTACAGCTAAAGACTTTCTGCCATCTTTGACAGCAATTTGGTTTAACTTGCCTTCAAGCATCCCAGAACTCCATACAATGTAAAGTTATGAGCAGAATCTCAGGTGAGGATTGCCTCAGAATAGAGTTTGATGTGATTGGTCTGGAGATGTCAGGGATGCTGCTGCTGGAATGTTGGCAAGTTTATTACTAAACTGCAAATTTCTTATTTCTAGCATATTTTGTATCTGTCCTGTAGATATGTTCAGTTAATATGAGATAATTTGTGTAGAATTGCTGTAAAACAATAAAGGCACTACATACATATTTATATTTATAGTTTGAACGATTGATTCTATTAGCAAACTTGCCAGTAAACTGATTAAGCTGAGATGATTGGGGATAGTGAGAGACTATTTAGATGACTAGTAACAGGATTAAGGTACTGTTTCTATGTGTGGAAAAGGTCTTTGGAGTTCTTAAACTATTCTCAGCCTCCAGATACTTGGAATTGTATAGGCACCATTTGAAGAATGGGAGTAAAAAAGGTTACTGGTCTATACAAGTTGAGTTTTAAAAACATTTGCTTTTTAATCTAAATATTTTACATTTGTATAAAAGCCCTGATATTCTTTACTGTTAGGATTTCTAGACTTTTATCAAGAAAGATAGTCTTCAAGAACTTAATGCATTCCTCAAGGAAAAAAAAAAAAGACTTAGAGCTATATGAGATAAACTCAAATTATTCTAAAATATTTTATTAGGGTTTGGAAAAAGATCAGTAAGATAATGTGCATTACCCACCTATCCTAAAAACTACAGAATACTTTCAGCTGTTGGCTAATGGATTATAAGCTAACATCCAATTTTCTTCCCCAATAAGTTTAAATAATGGCAACTATTGTAATTCCCAGTGCCTTGTAAATGTCATTTTATAATATCTATCACTCTTAAATGTAGCAATGGGATTAAATATTATAGTATTAAATAATCTATTTTTTTTAAAAGTTAGCTAACTCTTTGATAGTCAAAGTTTCACATTGCATCGCTATTCTATCCCCTGTAGCAGTGGTTCCCAGTTAGGAACTGTTGCCTCCTAGTTGACATTTGGCAGTATCTGGAGTCAGGTCTTAATAAGGGTGTGGGCACGGGAGCTACTGGCATCTAGTGGTTAGAGACCAGGGATATTGCAGCATTCTGTGTTGCACAAGGCAACTTCCAAAACAACAAATAATTAACCAGCCAAAAATGTCAATAGTGCTGAGCTATTGAGAAACCCTGATCTACAGAATTCTCTTATGTAAGGTTTTAGGCATGAAAGTCTTATTGGTTATCATTCCTACAGCAGAAAAAATAAAAGTGTGTAAATTTAAATTTATTGCATATCTTGTGATCATAATATTCTAAAAGTTAAGTCAGTTCAGCTGATTAAAAGATAAATATCAATTCTCAGTTACAAAAAGTAACATTGAAATGTATTTCTTAATGAGATTGGGCTTTTTATCACTTTTCTTATGTTGGCATGGATGGATATTTTTTATTGCTAGAATTTAACATTACTTGTTTTTCTCTTTTTCATTTTTAGAGATGTAAAGGCCAAAATATTTTGTTCATTTAAGTTGGGAATATAAAGAATGTTAATATAGCAATGTAGTTCAATTGGTTTTTTGTGTGTTATTTTTTAATCCTCACTCAAGAGCATTTTTTTCCCCCATTGCTTTTTCAAAGAGAGTGAGAGAGAGAAACATTGACGTGAGAGAGACACAGCGTTTGGTTGCCTCCCTCCCAAGCCACTGGGGCTGGGGACGAGCCTGCAGCCGAGGTACGTGCCCTTGGCTGGAATAGGACCCAGGACCCGTCAGTCCGCGGGCCAACGCCAACCACTGAGGCAAATCGGCCAGGGCTGAGTTCAGTTGTTTTTATTCTTTCTGAGTTATATGATAAAAATCATTTACTGACAGTGATCTATCAGAATATTTTTAATGATATTAGATTCTCCAGTTCAGTTTGGTTTAGAAGCACAGCATTAGAATCCTAACTTGGACAATAATTAATTTTCTCAATTTCGACTGTTTAGTACACTTGCAGTTATGGTCCAGAATAATGTACCATATTAATATTCAGAATGGGTAAGAGGTATTCCTTTCATAAAGGCCAGAAGGGCAAATCTCTGTGTACTTAAGTACCTGAAACAGTATCTAATTTAAGTGGTTGTTGGATGGGTGGATGGATGAACAATTGAAAGGATGAACACTTTAGAATTAAATATTATTATAATAATCCAAGCTAGAAATGACAGGTGATAGCAGGGAAGCTGGTGAGAAGTGGTGCATTCTGGACATATTCTGAAGACAGACCTAACAGAATTTACTCAAGGCTTGGATGTAGAGTCTCTGCATGGTTTTTGGCCTGAACTGCTAGGAGAGTTACCATTACTGAGATGGGGGAGACTGAAAGGAAGAGGGAGATCCAAGCACAATCCCCCGCCGGTTTTTGCAGCGCTACATTTGTGTTCCTAAGTTTAATTTAGTTGTTGAAAGACCTACACAGTCATTTTCCCACAAAATGATGGGATTTCCCCCTTGTTTTTAACTCCAATGCCTAAAATTCAAACACTTGACAATGTTAATTGTAACTCTTCTAAGTAATGTTAATTATCTGATTTGTGTATATTAGATCTACCTTAAGGACAGGTTTTATTGTTAAAAACTGTTCAATGTTTTAATAGAATTTTAAACACACTTCATTGTATTTTAAATCAGTAACTTTATACGCAGGTATTTTTTGAGCACAAGTTTAAAAATCAAACACTTGGCTTCATTGGATATAAAAATAGACTTCTCACATTCATAAACACTGACACCATGATTTCACTTGGGATAATCGTTTTCAGACTTGGTCAGAATAATGCAAGTTAACTCCAGTGCAACTGCAACATTCAACCATGGTTTATATTAATTCAGATGAATGTGTAGTGTTACATAGTTTTCCACCTTGGCTAGGTTGCTCCAAAGAGGCACATTTTTCTCTTAGTAAGTTTTTAAAACTTCTGGGTATTTTTCCAGTTTGTTTTAGCAGACAAAATAATATATGCAAAGAGAAAAAATTAGCACCATTTCAATGAGAGGATATTTGCATACCCAGTTATGATCTTTTGAAAAGTTAACGCAAATGCGTACACCTGTGTATATTAACATTATTAGCTGTTTTATGGGTCGGCATACATACTGAGAATGCTCTTTGCTGTTCCCCACAAGTGTAAGATTTTGAGGGTGTGGGTTCTCAGAGTTGAGTGGCGGAGACAGCTATGTACATACCAACTTTATTACATGTTTGTGATACATACTGAGATATAAGCAAATATTAAAGAGCATAAACAAGGAAGAAACTCCTGTTTATTCCAACATTATCTTTGCATTGATAGCAATCTTCTTGGAGAATAGGTTATGTGCACTAGAATAATGTTGCTGCTTTCTCCTTTGACAGCCTGTTTTCTCCTTAAGCCTCACGTTCCTGTCTCCTGCCTCCATAGATGGACTGTTTTGTGAGATGACATCCCTGCCTCCTCTGCCGGGCAATGGCAGCTGCAGCACACTGCCCCCTTGGAGAACCACAGCTGCCCTTTGGAGAAAAGTCACCCTCCTGGGTAACTAAAGTTCAGACTTCCTCTCCGGTGTCTCTACCAGGACCCTTTCATGACACCACACATATGTGAAAAAGACTGGCCGTTGTCTTCAGCCTAATGGCTGTGCCAGTTATAAAGATTATCCGCAGCTGAGGAAGGTCATTATGCTTTGTAGTTGGTATATAATATATGTATATAATACATATAAGTTATATACTGTACTATAAATTATAATAATGTATATTTAGTGTTTAAAATTATAGAGTTGAGATATATTGATTTGTTTTTGTTTTTCCTTACAAAAGGGCTTATAAACTCTGTAGGTAAATAAATAAACAAGAATTACCCTTTTGGAGAACTAAAGATTCTGATCACCACTTCCAACATGTGGGGGGGGGGTGCATGTGCAGGAGGGGGCAGATTAACGGGTGGATGGATCCTACAAGACTGCACCCCCAGCCCCTTCAGAAACCAATCAGAAGCCCAGGTTATCATCTGTTTGTCTCACAAACCCCCTCCTGGGGTTTGGTTAATTTGCTAGAGCAGCTCTCAGAACTCAAACATTTCACTCATTAAATTTAGATTACTGGTTTATTATAAAGAATATAACTCAGGAACATCCAGGTAGGAGAGGCGTGTAGGGCAAGGTATGGGAAAGGGCTTAGAGCTTTCTTGCCCTGCCTGAATGTGCTACTGTCCCCACACTCCCCCAACCCAGAAGCCTCTGAACCCCATCTGTTAGGGTTTTTATGGAGGCTTCATTGCATAGGCACGATTGATGAAATTGGCCATTGGTGATTGATTCCATCCCCTCTCCTTTCTCCTCCCCTCTCCCTTCATCAAGGAGTAGGACTGAAAGTTTGGACCCTCTATTCAAGTTTGGTTCCCCTGGCAACCAGCCCCCATCCTTAAGTGCTCTCCAAACGTCACCTTGTTCACGTAAACCCAGTTGTGGTGAAAGGACATGTTATAAATGACAAGACACCCCTTCACCCCTACGGCCCTGAAGCCATTTCAGGAACAGGACAAGAGATGAAACAGTATAACAAGAGATTCCCCCACTGCTTTTATTGGTCATTAAACCAAGGGTTTGGGGAGCTGTGAGCCAGGAACCTGTGGATGACCAAATTTTCTTACAAAGTGCATCATCCAGTGTAATCTAATTACGGAGTCTGACCAGAGCTATGGGTTCATGATAGGGATTCCCATGTTTAAGATACAACTGATTCACTGGTCTGTCTGAACTGATAGGTCATTTGCTACTTTTCTGTCATGGTGCTGCCCTGTATTTTCTGTGGAAAGGAACTGGTTAACAGGGCTTTTTCCTTTTTTTCAGGAAATGGTAACACTCTATTTTTTGAAAAGTCAGGAATTAAAAATTTAAATTGCATCCAATGGAAAAGAAATATTACTCATTCTTGTATTATAATAAAGCTTCCTTGAACATTTGCCTGCTACTTAGAAAATAGAACTTAATTATAGGGTCAACGTAAGAAACGTCCAGACCTGTAGAGAATTTTTATTAGTTTATTTGAGCCAAACTGACAATTGCCAGGAAGCAAAATCTCAACACATGGCGAAAATGCTCCAGAGAATGGCAGTTTTGCACCTTATATTATACATAGAATCAAAGGTGGGGGTGTAAGTGGGTTACATGGAATCCACTGGTGGTAGATTAGGAGGCGGGAGAAAGCAAAGCAGGGAAACCTCTGGGATTGGTAAAGAGTAAAACACAGATACATACTTGCTCACATTGGCGGGTACAGGATGGTTAACTATTAGCATTTACAGCACCTGGAGATGGTGTTCGGGGAACTTGACAACAACCAGGGCCTCTGTGGTCTCCTGTCCTCATGGGAGATTGTGTCCTGAGGGGTCTGGAAAAAGGTAGATCGCTCTGACATCCCAAAGGTATGTTATCTTAGATGCAAAAAGACAGGCTCAGTTAGGGTAAAGATTGGCTTTTGTCAGGGAAGATGCCAGCCTAGGACATGCCTGCCTGCCGTGACTGGCTTTTGGTTAGGACGTTTCATTTCAGACCATCCTCTGTGGTTGCTTTAGGTCTCTGAGTTTGCAAGGCCGCCATCAGGCCTCCCCTGAGCTGTCAGGTTTAGTATGTGGCTCCTTTTTTTGTCTACAACAGATAAATAAAATATATTGTGTGCTGACCTAATCACAAGATAACAAAACCAATAGAACTTGTTGAAAACTAAGACTAGCAATTTAGTGGATTAAACTGGAATGTCATAAAATTTATATTTTTATAGATGCTTTATCAGCTAGATAAGATAGCCTCTAATTGTAGTTATTAGTTTGCAGATTTAGTAGTAAATACAGTAATTGAAGTTCTAGAATTTGTTTTTAAAAATGTTTTAAACTATATAAAGTCATAACTTTTTTTGGATTAGGTTTTCATTTCAAGTTTTTAAGTCAATATAGTTAATATTGAACTATAGATAATGAAAGACAATTATAATCTTCACTATCAAGAGAGAAAAAATTTAGTGTTAAAGTCTCAAATACCAAAGAGATTACCAATAGTGAATAGTAAAAACTTTCCTATAAAAATCATTAACCATAACATGTATGTTTTTATATATTTTGGAATGTATGTTTCCACCAAAATGACTACCAAATGAGTTAAAATTTTTACATTGTTTTCTTAAAATTGGAAATAATTGCAAAGGAAATTTCAGGAAAAATATTAAATTATTTTTTAAATTACTTTTGAATTTCACAGATCTTTTTAAGTTATATTTAAAGAGAAATGTTTTTCTAATAAAACTTTATTAGTGAATCTTTTTATGTTTTGTTTTCTAGTTATTGCTGGTTTATGGAAATAAAATTATTTTTGTATATTGTCTTTACTTCAGCAACAGTGCTACTTTGTTTGTTTTTTGTTAATCATCACCTGAGGATATTCTATTGCTTTTTAGAGAGAGTGGAAGGGAGGCAGGGGACACACACACACATTGTTGTGAGAGAGACATCCATTGGCAAGGTTACATTTTTTTATTTTAATAGTTTGTAGATTCTTTTGGGTTATTGACACAGGCAAATTATATAAATCACATGAGTATCACTTTTTAAAATTTAAAAACCAAAAAATGTAAATACCTATTGTCAACCAGGGAAGCTCAAAAAGCCTCGGTACCCTGGCCGGTGTGGTGAAGTGGTTAGAGCATCGGCCTGCACACCAAAGGGTGGAGGGTTTGATTCCTGGTCAAGGGTTACAGGCTCCATCCCTGGCCCTGGCCGTGCACATGCGGGAGGCAACCAACTGATGCGTCTCTCACATTGATGTTTCTCTCTCTCCTTCTCCCTCCCTCCTTCCCACTCTCTGTGAAAAGCAATGGAAAAAATATCCTCAGGATTAACAACAACAACAAAAGCCTTGGTGTCCAGGGTTTGACTGGAGGGTCAATCACATAGTCATGGCTCTTTCCCACAGTGCTCCACCAAACATTGTGATACCAGATGGCCCAAGGCCCCCGCGTAAATCACATTGTTAGCATAGATTATCTGACATGACTTAAGGCCCACAGGTAAAAAAAAAAAAAAGAGGCTAGATATTCCCAGGGCTTACAGGTTACATCCCAGATCGCAGGGGTAAAGGGCTACACCTTTCTTTGGACAAGGTTAATCTTTTACTACATGTAGATAAAGATTTCTTACACAGGAGACACCAAAACTCTAGCCAAAGAGATAAAAAATGATAAATTGTTCTGTATTAAGAACTTTTATTCATTAAGAGGGTGATTAAGCAACTCCAAATAATGTATCTTCAATACATACGTTTGACAAAGACTAGTGTGCAGATTATGTGAAGAACTCATATGAATCAATACAAAAGAAATCCAACTGGGGGTTGGGAAGGCAGACAAAAAGCACTTTAAAAAGAAGCTCTACAAAACTCGTATCGTAAACTAAGGCCATAATATGATAGCACCGTGCGCCTAGCCAGAATGGCTACAATGGAGAAGGCGGACAGGAATGGAGACAGCAAGGGTGCGAAGCAGCCACACCTCATACTCTCCCGGCGGGAAGGTCGACTGGGAAGACTGCTTTGGAAGACTGCCTGGCAGTATTTACTACAGGTAACGTATGCATGCCCTATGACCCAGCCATTTTAGTTCTACCCAAGAAAAAATGCATTTATTCATCAACAGACATTTTAGAATATTTACATCAACACTACTCACAATGACAATTTAAGAATACTCAAATGTCCATTAAACAATTAACTGGTATATTCACAGGGTGGAATATGACTCAGCAGTGAGAATTACCATCTACAACTGTGTGAAACAGTATGATTGAATTTCACAAACAATGTTAAGAAAAGCCAGACACAAAACAGTACATTCTGTGTGATTGCACTTACATAAAGTGCAAAATCAGTAGTGATAAGTCAGGATAGCAGTCACCCTTAGGCAGTGCAAAAGGCAGACAGCGATGGGTCTGTGTTCCAGAAGGACTTCTGGGGTGCTGATACAGTTCTTACATACAGACTAGTTAGGCAGCTATTCTTAGTTTGCAAAAATTAAGTTGTACACAAGTTTTTTCTTTCAGTCAAAGTTACATTTATGAGATAATCCGAGAAGCATCATGCTCTAATAATACAAACAGTAAGAGTAGAAGTGAGTTTTTGTGCAGCTTCAGGCCCTTGAAAGTGTTCATGGGACCCTGTAAGAGGAGGAGTGGGTTCTAGGTGCAGTGAGGAAGCCCGGTTGCAAGACAAAGCATTTCTATGCGAGCATTTCTGGTTAAATCGCCTGAAAAGATCTCTTGAAGAAACGGACATGAATTGCCAGTCCTTTAATAAATTTGTTGCATTCTCATTCTAAAAAATACTTCATGCCTAATTTTGTATTTTTATTCCTTTTTTTAAAAATATGAAGAACCCTTCCCCCCACTGCAATTCACCAGTGTATAAACCTCAACTCCCACCAACTTAGATCTGCCTCTGAAGAGTGAGAACATCTTGATCCAACCCTAGCTATGGTCTGATTTTTATTACTGGCATCAACACTTTCAGTTCTTTTCTATTAATAGGCTTTATTTTTTTCAAGAAAAAAAAATGCCTTTAATAGACTAAATAATCATAGTTTGTCAGTCATTGTTTCAAGTAAAAATAGTGTGCTATAGAAAACCATCTCTTCCAGCTTGCAACTCAAAACTCTTACATGTGCTTTTTCTGAAGACCTTGTAACTTTAGTGTCCAGATGTAATTTATGTGTATTTCCCATTCATCACACAAAATGTTAAGGACATTACTCAATAAAATTAATGGTTTTTATAAATTTTACAAAGGACATTCTTAAACTGTCCTTTCCCACATATGTGTGGCAGGCTAGAATTCA